AGGTCAGGTCTGAATGGGGAAGTAGATGGTACAGGCTCACGGTTGAAGTGGAGAAGAACCGGATCTTCTGTTGAAACGGCAGGTGGAGGAAGTGACGTCAAGAGTTCCCTGGTCTCCTGGATAAAACCTGTTCAAAACTGAGGGCTGTAGATGTTGGTGCAGGAGCGGAATAGGAGGTTCAATGGGGAATAGAAGTTTAGGAAGGAACAAGACATTATAAGGAATATGCAGCCATTAAGCACAGAAGAAGGCATGCGATTAATCAAAACTGCGTAGAGACAGCATCAGCCCAAAAATGTTTAGGGACCTTTCATTTGGAATAAAAAGTGCCTAGCAACCTAAGAAGATGTCGATTCTTTCTTTCTTCAACCCCATTTTTGAGGAGTATCAACACAAGATGTTATGATGGGAGGAATACCATTTTTGTGAGATATGATCTGGAAGAATAGATAGGTATTCTGTAGCATTATCACTGTTTGGCAATATGGCCGAACAGAAGTATTAAATTGAGTTTTTAATTTAGCCACAAAAAGACAAAAAATAGAGAATAATCTCAGAACGAGTTTTCATTAAAAATAACCACAGTAACACGAGAATAATCATCCACGAAAGTTAACAAAAATACCGAAGCCAGTTTTAGAAATCAACAGGACATGGACCCCAAACATCAGAATGAATTAACTCAAAAGGGCATGGAAAACCCGTTTATGACTCGAGGAAACTAAAGGCAAACGATGATGTTTTGGCAATTACAAGATTTCACATTTTCTAAACTTGATAAAGACTGAACTGCGACACAACTTCTTTAAAGTAGACATGATGGATGACGCAAACAGACAATGAACTCAAGAGGAGATAGAGCACCAGCACAAGCCCAGAGATACATGAAACGTGTTCATCCAGAGATAAAGGCCACCAGATCAACGTCCTCTACCAAATAATCCGCTTCGTCAAAAGTCCTGAAACACACCAAATGTAGGATAAAATTTGACACAACCATTCAGCATACGAGTAATTTTATGCTAATAGATAATGATTAAACGAAAAACGAGGCAAACAAAAACAGAGGACACTGGAAAAGAGATGGCAATGGGATTGCAGTGCCAATACAACTTGACAGGAGATGTGGACCATCACTAGGAGTAACATGACGATTACAATTGTTTAGGTTCTTTAAGGAGAATTAAAGAGACTGGAGACTAGGGTTACCTGTCATGTGATCGGTGCAACCAGAATCAATGACCCACTCTGATGAGGTAGACATAAGACAGGAAGGAGGAGTACCTGAGTTGGCAACAGCAGCAATTGAGGAGTCAATAGACTTAGAGGAACGGTATCTAGAGAGCTCAGCATACTCTGCAGCAGAAATTGTTACATTGTTGTCAGAAGAAGTAACGGCATAATCTTGATGTGTCATATTTACCCTTGGTGGCTTATTTATCAGTTTCTTGCAAAATCGTTTAGTGTGACTAGGTTCATGGCAATAATGGCAGATAAGAATGCTTGTCTCCCGAGTGATTGGTCCATTACTACGGTTATTTCCTCCTCTTCTTCTCTGGTTTATTGGCTGTCTAAGGCTACCTGTTACGACTCACAGGCACTATTATCAGCAGAGGGGAACGGTGTATGAGAACCTTCTAGTACGTAGCAATCTGCAAAAGTCTTCCTGAAGAGAGTAACATCACTGCCTGAAAGAACTTGTGATTATGGCAGTGTTCAAAACTGGAGCAAAGACCTGCCAAGGAAAACTATCACAGCCATTTGTTTCGCTGCGTTTGTTGAACCTTAACATCTGGACTTAAAAGGCAAATAAAACATTAAGTTCCTCGTAAATTTTTAATTAAATTCCATGAAATAAGCTGTAAGGGGCATTATCTCGGCTGGTCAGCCCGAAAAAATCCTTTGCCAGACCTCATTAATACGAAGACAGATTACCTTTTCCCGAATACAAGGAATTCAAAGATATTCCATTAAATTCTTTAAACAAAATCACAATGATTGATTAATCCAAACCACTTCACTGTCAATAGGAATTGCGAATCAGTAGGAATAAACTTAGCAAATCTTCCCTAAGCCAACGTTGCCTAGTGTCATCGTTTGGTGGAATCATCAAATTAGATGATCATTTTCTTCCAACACTTCGCACATAAATTCGCATTGTTCTTACTCCAATCTAAATACATTAGTTCTTTCAATTTATGTTCTGTGATCTTTATTCATTGCCTGGGATCAATTCAGTAATAGTAGTTTTAGATCTGTAGGTGGAGGATCCATTATTAATTTAAAACTAAACGCCTACACAGCAAACGCAGCAACGCAGAAATAGACACCAAAAAAAAATAGTCTTTCAATGCAAACAGGAGCTAAAGGTAACCTGAAACGCTAAATTGACAGAACTGAGTACGCCGCTACCAAAACTTCGCTGGATCGCAAAAACAACCACCTGAGTAGACTGCTGACAGAAAAATGAAGCCAGAACACAATTTTCGATCGCCGGAAATAGCCGGACGTGCCGCCACGCGCCGGCGCGTGGTACTGTAGTAGAATCTTGTATCGGCGCATGAGGCCCACGCGCAGGGAATCCGGTGACCGGATTTTGGGGGATGACCGGTCGGCAGCTGGAGCAACTCCTGGAGTGGGCGGTGAGACAAAAAAGTGACCCTAGAATAGTCACCAACACTGACAGCCACCACGCGCAGGAAATCCGGTGACCAGATTTTGAGGGAACGCCGGAATTTTCTATGCAAACGGCAAAAAATCAAGTTTAAAGAGCCACAGGCTCTGATACCATGTAGATTTATTACCATTAGATTTAATGTAGGGAAAATATTTTTTCTGTATTTGATTCATCAATAGGGACACTATATTTATACACATTACAAAATACGTATAAACCTATTTAGGAATCTAACTCCTATATAGAGTTTCTTATTTACAACCTAATTCTTAACACAATTAAACAGAGGGACAAGTTTGCAAGCTGGAAGAAATCATATTATAAAGCTGAAACCAATCACCAGAGCATTTGTCGAAAGGTTTAGTTAAAGCTATGCTTTCTTTTGATTATATATTCAGAGCGAAGACTGGTTCATACTGTGTTCATTATAACATCATTGTAAGGTTAAGATCCACATCTGCTTATTGTTTATGTTGATTGATATAGTGATGACTGGAAATAATGAAGAAGAAATGACTCTACTTGAGGAAATTTGTTAGCTAGGGGAGTTTACATTAAGGGATTTGGGAAAGAGATATTTCCTTAGGATAGATGGAAGTTGCTTTAGGTCAGGAAAAAGGGGTTTTATTTCTCCAGAGAAAGTACATCCTTTGATCTCCTTTAAAGAAACTGTTGTTTATGTTGGGATTAAAAATCTGCAGAATCACCTATTGAAGTCAATTCATAAAGCTTTCAAAGCTAGAGTGGGAAGTCAGTTGATGCTTCGGCATGTATCAGAGATTGGCGGGAGATTTGATTCCTTGCCCTATACTAGACCACAGATATTGCCTATGTGTAAGTTTAGTAAGTCGTACATGCACGACCCTCGGGAGTCCCACTTAAGAAGAGTGCATTGGATTCTAAGATATTTAAAATCAGCTCCAGGTAGAGACTTTTATTTTTCTAAACATGGGGGCCATTTAACAATAAACAGCGATACAATGCGGTATTGGGCTAGTTCCCTTGATGACAGGAATATCAACCTCAGGTTATTGTGTTTTGTGTTGGAGGAACCTGGTTCACCTGGAGAAGCAAGACAGTTAGGCTGGCCTGTTGCAAGGCTCCCATGCTGCAGGAAGCTGAATTAATAGAGCTATGGCACAGGGGATTATCTGTTGAACTTCTATGGTATGCGCAATTATGGAATGAGTTTAAAGTTGGTTGAAAACAACAAATATATCTTTGATTTGTGATAGTAAAGGGCAGCCATCAGTTATGATGAACAATTCTAGTCCGGTTATGATTGAACTAAACACATTAGAGAAATTTGATCACTTTATAAAAGAGAAGATAGTTGAAGGTTTTATAAGTGTTTCTCCTATATAGCTTCAAAAAGAGCAACTAAGCTGAATGTTTTCACAAAAGGGTTTGCATAGGCAAGTTGTTTCATCCTTAGTTTTGCAAGTTAAGGCGATGAGTAATTATCTATGCATCAACTTGGGGGGAGTGTTTGAAATCTTTTGTGATTAAAGTTAAAATATTGTGTTTCCTAGGTTTAGGTTTATTCCTATTTAGATACTTTCCTTATTGAAATAATTTTATATAATATATTATATATAGTGGAGTAGAGGTTGAAATTATATATATATATATATAGTGGAGTAGAGGTTGAAAAATATAACACAATTGAAAGAAATAAAACATATTCTTTCCTTTAATTTCTACACTATTTTACATTTTATCTTAATTTGATTTCTTTATTCATTACAACTCTTAAAATCTGAGTTCTTTTTTTTTTCCCAAAATTTAGAAAATTAGGTTGGCCAAACCCGGAAATGGTAAGCTGTCCACATGGATTTAATAGCTATATTAAATGTGAATGAGAATAATTATGGGGCCAAGACAATGAGAGAAAACTGTTCGTTGTCAAATAAAAGTTGTATTTTTTTTCTTTCATTAATTAGCTGGTGACTTGTGCTATAACTAACGTGGTAAAGTTATGATGATGAATTAGTATTAGATGTTAAAAGATCTAACAAAGCTTGATCATGATGAATTTTTATTTTTAGCTGTAGCGATTTATTCATGTATGATAATGTTTAAGCAAGGTATAAACATCATCCACAAATAAAAAATTATAAAAGATTCTTCATGCTATCATTATTCCAAATAATTTATGATTCTTTTGTGGTATCTTAAGCCAATCCTTTATACTGGTTCAAAGTTTTTTGAGTTATATGATCTCAAAATCTGAAAGTTCTTATTTGTTTCTAAAAAATTATTGTGCTTTGTTTGCATACTGTTTTCTGAATGTTTCTAAATCGGTTGATCTTTCCTGTGACAGGCAAAGAACATTTATTCACAACTTCTGTATGATTCAGTGACTGCGCAATACAACGTGCTTAAATCTGCCATAAATGGCAAACGAGGGCTAGAGGCTTCAATTCCAACTGTCTCTTTGTCACAACCATGGAATTAATCAACCTTTTGCATGTTTAACTAGGTATTTTCTTATTTCCTAAAATTTATGAAATAAGTAGGGATCAGGATCTAATGTTTTTTATAGTCTTAAAAAATGAAAATGACTTAGCAGAATTATTTAAGTTGTGACAGGATCACTGTTGACAGATTCTGATAGAGTTACTGGTAAGAGGCTAACTGGAGGAAGGCACATTTTAAAGAGTTGATAACATCCTTCTAAATAGGGCACAAGTTTTGACAAGAGTTGGAAGAGATGCTGTAAGACTTTGTTGCTAGAAAACTTAGATGTTACAGATAATGTTAATGGTTCCTAATATACCAATGAGGACCACACACTTGCACCTCAATGTAAATATGTCACTTTTAGGTTGAACTCTGTGTTTATGTTAAAAATCTCAAACTTAATAATATGGCTTGCTTAGGTTAGGAGATACCTATCCGCTTGTCCGGATTGAAAGGTAGGATTATTTTCTTAATAACATTGAAAATTGGCTCATGGTATAATTTCATATCGTTACAAATTTAATTTGACATGTTTCAGGATATAGTATGTTATAGTTTTGCAACTGCTCAACTGATGGAGATCTGCCAGTCCTTCGACTTTGAGACGAGTGCACTACTACGGGCAAGTGTTTTATCTTGATGACATCGAGGATAAACTTTTGTAGAAGTTTGCAATCTTGCATCAAGCTTTCTCTCTATGTGCATTTGTTTTTGGAGCTGTACCCATCTTGATGGACAAGTTGAATTTGGAGGGGTGCAGATAACAAGTGGTTCTAGCAAGGCCGACGTTGGTCCTCTTCATGCAATTTTGTGTGCATTCACTCAAATTGTTATGTATCTGATCATATTTACGTTATATACACGGTTAATATGCCTTTTTTCTAAAGATGCAAGCTTTCAAGTCAATCTTGTTAACAAAATCTGCGCAACTATGTTTTTTTTTTTTTTTTTTTTTTTTTTTTTAAGATTGCAAGCTTTCAAGTCAATCTTTGTTAACAAATCTGCGCAACTATTGTTTTTTTTTTTTTTTTTTTTTTTTTTTTTTTTTTTTTTTTGTGAGCAAGGGGGGTGTTCAGAACTCTAATTTTGTGGGGAAAAGCTTAAAATCCCGAATAAATGTTCGGATGCCAGCAACTGTTTGAATATTGGTTGCTGGGTTTTCTCAGTAAGACTCCTTTCTTTGCTCTCCCAATTTAACTTTCTGTTGTTCTACAATTATTGCTTTTTGCTTTCTCTTTTGTAAACTGCTCTTTAATTATGGCTGATAATGCGATCTCTGGTAATGTCATTAGTTTGCAGCCATAAATCACAACTCAAATAAGGCGACTCTAGAGCTAGTTATAGCTTTATTGAGTAAACCATTAAAAATGCCCTCAAAGTTGCATTTTGTTACAATTACACCCCGGGCATGGTAATTTTTAGTTTTTGTAATAATTGTATCCATATTAAAATCCGACTCTAAAAAATAATAAATAACAAAAACAATGGGATACACTCTTATACATGGATAAAATTAACCCAACTCGGGTCAATTAAAAAAATTAACCGTTTTATGAGAAAAAAAAAAAAAAAAAAAAATCCAAACTCTCAAAGTCACCTCTCCTTTGCCTCTCCCGTTTTCTTCTTTGCCTCATCCTTGCTAAAAGTCTATCCACCCAAACAATAGCCAAGAAACAAAAATCACTTATTTGCCTCATCATTGCTAAAGTCCATCAACCAAACAATAGCCAAAGAATCAAAAGTCAAAGCCCAGAAAAACAGATCACCTCGCCTTTGCCTCTCCCGTTTTCTTCTTTGCCTCATCTTCGCTAAAGTCCACCGATCCACACAATAGCCAAAAAACAAAAAACGAAAATTAAAAGTCAAAGCCCAATAAAACAGAAATCATAGAGTAAACCCATATCGAAAATGAGTTTACAAAAAAAAAAAAAAAAAAAAAAAAAAATATCGAAAATGAGTTTACAAAAAAAAAAAAAAAAAAAAAAAAAAAAACTCAGCACCCTACCCACGACGGTAAGCAAAAAAAAAAAAAAAAAAAAAAAAAAAAACTCAGCACCTACCCACGACGGTAGCAAGGGGTTTTGACGTATGCGTTGATCATCTCCTCTTTGGCTGGTTTTGAGTTAGTTGGGATCTCCATGACGATAAGCCAGTGCTCATAGTCACAGCCATCCAAGAGTATCGGTTCCTTTGGTGGTCGGTTACTCTAGTTGGATGACGAATCATTCAGTGACGAGTAACCTGAGCTAGAAGTTTTGAAACGGGTAGAGACTTTCACATAGTCCGGAAAGATTTGGTTCAATGGTTTTTCCCAAGGAGAGAAAAAATGAATCGAGAACTATAAGAGAGTGAAGATGATGATGGGTCGGCAAATTGAAGAGAAGAGAGAAGCTTGGTGTGCAGGGGACAGTTTATATTGCGTGAACAGGGGAAAAATTTTTGCGTTAGGTTAAGTTTTAAAATGGTGGTTAGTTTTAAATCGAGGGCAAACCGTGGGATCCACACACAATATTATTTTAATCATTTTTAAATGACAGATTTCATTGGGGTTCAATTATTACATAAGTTACAATTAAGGTGCTGGGTTAACTTAAGAATACAGTGTAATTATAACAAAACACAAACTTAAGGGTATTTTTAATGGTTTACTCCAGTTTTATTTGATGAAGAATCCGACTTCTTGTTTCGCCCTGTTGATAAATTCAGTATCAGACAAAAAGATTTCATGGAACAGTTATGAAAGTGTTTATTCTAAAATCAGTGGGGTACTTGGATTTAGTTCCTATCAAATAGTAAACGGGTTTCAAACTACGTTGGCCTATAGGCTTGAACGGTCAATCTAAGGGTTCTTGTATATTCATTGTGTCATGCCTTTAAATGCTTTTTCCTATTCATACTAAAAGTATTTTTCCTAGGCGAGTAAAAGTTGTGTGAAAAAGAGACGAAGAGTAGACGCACTTCATAACTAATTATTAAATCAAAACATTAATGATAAATAGATATTAATTACACTGATAAATCATATACTAAAAGGTTAAATCAAATCACTGTGACTTTTTAAATATTTGGATAGTCTTAATATGTTGCTAGACAATGTATTTGACCAACAAATATTAATTAATTAATTTAATTTATATTTGTTGCCAATATATTTGGAACTTAGAAGGTCACACATATAAGAATGGATATGAAAAAGTGAAAACGAGAAATCGAATCGAGTATGACTTGATTACAAATTAGTTTTGAGACATTAAACGCAAAATTGTAATTTATATTTAATTACAATTTTACCTAAATTATTAAGTATTGACTTAATTGATTTATGTCTCAAATTTATTAAGATAAATTTTAGATTAAATAAACCTAATATTTTGTCTCAAATTTATTAGATAAATTTTAGATTAAATAAAACTAATATTTTAATTATGATTTTATTTTATTTAAAATTAATTTAAATAGAATAAATAGGCCACATATATATTTTAGTTATAATGTTATTTATTTAAAAAGGTTTAAATAAATTAATTATAATTTAATTTATTTATGACCTAGGGTTTTCATATATAAGGTTTAGATTTACAGTCATAATTTATTTATTTATGACCTAGGGTTTTCATATATAAGGTTTAAGATACAGTCTAACGAGTAGTTTTTGCTCATAGCCACAAAATTAAACATAAAGCATACGATCGCTAGCACCAGCATACACTCTAATCTCTCAATACTCTAAAAAAGTTTTAGAGTTTTTCGATTGTCCATTCGTGTAGATACTACTAGAGGCTGGACACTTGGACGACTTATAGTTTGCGACAACCTAGCCGTGTAGATCAAAGTTTTGAATAATCTGCAAAAGAGGTATTCTTCTAAACAATTTTATTGCTTTAGTCGTTTAAATGGATCTCTTGTTGGTAAAATTACATTTGTTATAATTTTCTTATTATGCTGCATATTATTGATATTGAAATCCAACAACCTTTGCATGGAGCTATGAAGACATGCTGGGTATAGACAAATCTATAGTAGAGCACAACATTCCTTTGTATCTTAGGGTTAAGCCAGTGAAACAGAAGTGAAGAAGGTTGAGACCAGAGTGCGTCGATAAGATTAAAGAGGTAATGACCAAATAGATTAATGTTGAATTTTTGGAGGTGGTTCATTATCCACATTAGCTTTCTAACATTGTGCCAGTTCTCCGAAAGGATGGAAGGGTTAGAATGTGCGTGGATTACATAGATTTGAATAAGGCATTGCCGCAGGATGACTTTCCACTCTCTCACATCGATGTCCTGATTAGCAGTGCAACTATGATGGGATGCTACTCAATCATGGACGAATTTGCAGGTTACAATCAGATTCTAATGGCATTGTTGGATAAAACCAAGACTGCTTTTGTTATAGAGTTGGGGACTTTTTATCATTGGCACTATAAAAAAAAAAGCGCTTTTGCGACCAACGCACATCGGTCGCAATATTGCGATGATTGAGAGGTTGAATATCCACCGACAGATTTGCAACCAAACAGCGACACATTTTGCGATGGATTTACGATTGATATAATATCTGTTGCTAATTCTAGTGCTAATAATTCTCTCCAGTTAGGTTTTCATTTTGGGAACCACATTGCGACTAATTTGAGACCGATTCTGTGACAGATTAGCAACCGTTGTCACAAAATTGCGCGCTGCTGTTTAGTGCAAAATTTAGCTTTCGTTCTATGACCGATTTGCGATCGACACTTCTGCGATCGATTGTATGGTCGCAAGTCGGTCACAATTTTTCTGACCATAAACGACATCACATGATTAAAAATTGCAACAACTTTTTAATGAATAGTCGATTGCAAAAAAATAGGGCTTTATAAGCACTTCTTCGCCTTGCGCAAGCGCAGCTCTCCTCCTTCCTTCCCCTTCTCCTCTCTGTCACGTCGTAGCCGTTCCCAACCCAGCCGCCTCCTCCTCCGCTCTCTTCCAATGCCGGTTGCCGGAGAAGCCCCTGTCACTGGAGATTCTTACAGAAGCTTCGTTCACGTTCGCTGGTCAGGTACGCCTCTTGCTGTCTTTTTTTGTTTGTTTTTTTTTTTTTGGTTTTTTTGTGGATTTCGTTTTTTATGTGAATGCATTTCATTCTTTGCAGTTATTATTGTTGTTTTTTTGGTCATTTAATTATATTAGTTCTATATTTTTAATATATTTAAGTTAAATTAGACCAATTTTTATGAGGTATTTTTTTCCAATATATAATTATAAATCATGCTGAATAATATTTTTCTTTTAATCAGCTAGACTAATTGATCAAATTTAGTTATTAGACATTATAATAATAATTTTAATATTTATTAAAAAATTTGATGGTCCATTCAGCAACCCAATATCATGGGTGAAGTGCACATGCAAATGAAAAGGATGAAAAATGGTTTCTTTCAATAGCTGACTTGTGAAATCACAGAGTGGAATTTGAAATTATATTAAGTAGTTGAAATATTTTGGTTTACTAATAATATTTTTTTGGTAAGATACGAAATATAAAATTTTCTAATCAAAGAAATGGACAATTAAGCTAATTATTAATAACTAAATTAGAAGCAAAGTCAAAATCTTATTATTACAAATTTCTATTTAAACATTTGAAAATTGTACAAATTGCATACGCGTCAAAAATTGGGCAATAAGAGATGAACATGCTCCGTTAATTGCCATATTAGAATTGTCATTACATGTTATTTTCAAAGGCTGTTCTTGTATTACCCAAAAATAGCAAAGTTACAAAATTTAATTGGATGTAATTAATTATGCAGAGCTGTTTTTATTCTTACTTAGCACCATGATTATTGTGGGTGGTTGTAATACATGGATTTTATTTTTATTTCTAATAATAATAATTTCTACTTAATAATTGATTTAAAAATTATTATTTTATTTTTTTGTTAAAATATGGAAGCTGGAGAGATAATTTATAAAAAAAATTTTTTTTTTTGATAAATTATATATTGCGTAAAATCTAGTAGCAAATTAAGTGTTATTTCTACCCTTTTACATTGAAGATTGAAGTCCATTTTATTATTATTTTATATAATAATTATTTAAATCAAATAAAATTATTTTATGCGACTAGTATTTATGTAGTATTTATATATAGTGCAATATTATTGTATATTTCTACCCTTTTTACATTTGAGCATTGAAGTCCATTTTATTATTATTTATATTAATAATTATTTTTTAAATCAAATAAAAATTATTTTATGCGACTAGTATTTAATGTATGTATTTATATATAGTTTGTTTCAATTAACAAATATGTTGCATTGGATTTGGTTCAATTAACATAGTTTGCATTGGATTATTGACTTTAGAAATTATCTAATATTTGTTTCAAATTTAAAATATAATCCGAAATATAAATGTGAAAAGTTAATTTAAGTTTTATTTTTAAAATTATTAAAGGAATATAATGGGTCTCTACTCTCTAGTAATTATGCAAGGACAAAAGATAAACCTGAAATATAGTAAAACAAAAATGACAAAATTTCGTTAATTTTAATTTGTAAAAAAAAAAAAAAAACTAATGACTGTAATTTATAACACTAGTTATAGTATTGAAATAATTGTAATTTATAAAAAAAAAATATGAGTGTGATTTAATAGTAATCAAAATTTATACTAATCAAATTTAAAAAACCAATTTCTATATTGTGTATGGAAATTAATTTTTTTAAAATTAGTTTACGTTGATTTGTGTTTTCATTTGATTGGAAATCACATAAATGATGCATTTGATTGCAGCGCTTTCAGTGTGTGATGTATTTTGAGTCACTGCCTTAATTTGTTTTTGTTTTTTACGAAAAGATTAAGAAAAAAAACCCGTGATTGACTCCATTTTCAATTTTCCTTTTAGGATAAAATGTACAAGCCTCGAATCGTTATGTTTGGGGACTAGGTTTTAACACCTACCACCCGACCCCAGATTATTAGACGGCGAATACCACATTCAGTGCCGGAGGCACCATTCTAAGCTACAAAATTGAATCTTATATGCTAAAGATATGAGTTTTTGTTTTTTTTTTTTTTTTTCCAGTCTCACAAGTCTAGCAAAGTCCATTATTTTTAACCTTAGGACTGACTTTGCGAAAAAATCCCTTACAAAAAACTGCAAGAATTTCCTCTCCTATAAAAATTTGACTAGGCCATAAAAACCATGTGAAACCAAGAGTATGACACTTCCAAAAGTGACCGAACCCCTCAACTAGTCCATAACGGTCCAATATAATCATCTCAAGGCTCAAAACAGTATAATACCCATAAACATCAATCCAATCCTAAATGAGGTATACAATCATCACCTTCGATATCATGGCAATCATATATTATCATAAGGAAATACTCTTAACTAATACACATCCAAATAACACACATTCACCTGTATACAAATAATATACCAAGCCACTTTACTCCAATTCCGTAATAATCAGAGAAAATTAATTTTCTAGACATAATGCTCATCAATAATA